TGCGCCCGATCGCAGCGTGGCCCTGTAGGCGGCATCTTTTTTCTCTGCAGCTTCCTGACACTCCTCATCGTACCAGTTGTTCTTTCGGGCTCGCTGAAATCCGACTACTTCTTCGGCGGCGGTACTTAATGAGTGGGAAATGTGGTTCCACTGCTCGCATATGTCGGTTTGTTGAAGAGTGCTCTCTGAGAGCAGGTGTGAGAGTCGAGTAGCGAAAGCGCTGGCTGTCTGTCGTGATTGCAGCTTTTCGACGTTAAGCTTTCCTTGCATATTTGGGCGCACATTTTTTGCTGCACAGAGGCGAGTGCGTATCTTGGCTGCAACAAGATAGTGGTTCGAGTCGATGTTTGGGCCTCGGAGTGTGCGTACGTCTAAAACACTGGAAGCGTGCCTTCCGTCTATCACCACATGATCGATTTGGTTTCTCGTTTTTCGATCCGGAGACAGCCACGTAGCTTGATCGATATTTTTATGCTTGAACCTAGTACTGCATACTACCATGTTTCGGGCCCAGGCGAAGTCGATCAGCCTCAATCCGTTGTCGGACGTTTCGTCGTGGAGGCTGAATTTTCCGACGGTGGTTCCAAAGACCCCTTCCTTGCCCACTCTGGCATTGAAGTCGCCAAGCACGATTTTGATATCATGACGGGGGCCGCGCTCGTACGTGCGCTCCAAGCGCTCACAGAAGAGATCTTTGGATGCGTCATCCTTCTCTTCCGTCGGGCATGGGCGCAGATGAGCGAGATGTTGAAGAATCTCGCTTTGATGCGGATTGTGGCTAGACGCTCGTCCACCGGGGTGAACGACAGTACTCGGCGACGGAGTCTCTCTCCCACCACAAATCCAACTCCGAATTTGCGCTCCTTTACATGGCAGCTGTAGTAGACGTCGCAAGGCCCCAGACATTGTTTGCCTTGCCCCGTCCAACGCATTTCTTGGATGGCGGTGATGTCAGCTTTTGTCCTTACGAGGACATCAACCAGCCGGGCAGAGGCACCTTCCCCATTAAGGGTCCGGACATTCCAGGTGCATGCCCTCAAATCGTAGTCCTTTAAACGTTTGCCGTGGTCGTCATCATAAGGGGGGGTCTCATCCGAGGATTTGCCTTGCTTCTTCACTGGCCGTGGTTTTTACGTGGCGGATCCCAAGCCCAGCGCACAACCCATTGCTGAGACGGGGGTGGTTTCGCAACCAAATACACGTTTATATAGCGAGCCGCTTGCTCCAAGCAGATACCCGCTTGCAGCCGCACCTACTGGTGAACAGACGCTGCAGACTTCAGTGAGTCCTTAAACCGAATAAGTCGGAGTGGCCCCACAGAAGCTCCCTCTCTTTCTGCCGTGACCCAAGGCTCCACTCGGATTGGTTACCGCATCTCGCACAAGGGTTGCTCACGTTGCCCAGAGTGCGAGAACGAGGACGCAAGAGTCGGGATTGAGTATAGCCATGCAACTGTAACTGCATACCCAGCGCAACGACTATACCCCATTGCACTCCCTACCTACCTACTAGTTACTATAAAACCCATCTACTTATTTATACACTTAAATATCATATCTGTGTTATAAAGTGTATCTTTTCGTAAACAAAATGCAATTCATCACAACAAAATTCAAACCCTTTGCATCTGCATACATATATATGTACATATATACAGAGAAAAGACTACGCAGGTGTGTGTTACGTTACGCATGCATGCATCTATTTATTGCAAGTGCGTGCGGTAAGTGCCAAGTAATGGCCTTGAATTGTGCTGATGGCAACACAACGACACCACAAACAACGTACAAACGTACATACATATACATACATATACATATGGAGATGTAGACGATTTTAAAAGTGTGAAAAGAAAGTGCGGCGCAAAGAAGAGTGTGTGGGAGCTGCATGTAAGTATTTCATGTTATCGCATACAGAGAAGCGCCAACGACATGTTGCTAAACTGAAAAGCTATGTAGACCTTGATGTTATAAAAAGGAGGCGGTTTTTTCTATATGTTTACAAGTTTCACACCTGCCACTATTCACGAAAAAGTTATAAAGAAGAGCGAAACAAAAAGAAAGTACTCATAGTACATACATTTTACATATATGAAGGCTGAAAGCTATGCACAAATGTAGTCAACTTTTTCATCTAATATCTCCTAGGCCATTTCTACTCACTCTTCTGTGACTGTCCGCTTGGGATAGTAGTTGAAGGCAATGCCCAAAGGCGCAGGTTTTCTCAGCTTTGGTAAACTTAATTTCAATGGCGTCTGTCTTACGTTAAGTAGCAGACTGAACACACAGATATATATATATACTATAATATAGTAACACATAAAAACCTATGAATGCGGCTTATCTCTGAAGACACCCTGGCGTATGAGTAATTATTCATATGCATTCGCTTCAAACACGATGGGATGTACATTAGGATGGGTCAAATTGTTCGGAAGAAGGTTTTTCGACAAATCGCAGGGCATTGTCGGTTTCTATAGATTATTCTAAGAGCAAATGTAGAAGAAACTATAAATCGGAAATGAGTTTATAGCCTACGGATTTATAATAGAAATTTACTTGTTCACAAAATAACATCGGTAAGTATAAACATTTGTGAATTTATTTATCTATTATAAATAAAACAAATGTAAAAAAAACTAAAATACACACATTTTATATGCCAAAGTTGTAAGAAAATATGAAAAAATTAAAATCGTGAAAAGGTAATTTTTTCATTTAAAAGCGCGCCGGCTCGAAACTCATTTCGGACCCATGGTTTATTCTACTATTTTGAGGATTAAATGCGGAATCAGAAAATACCATACGATATAGTAAAACAACTACCCATCCTAATTTATATATGTACATATTTACATATAAAGGAAAAGAAGTTTGCATAATGTTATCTAATACATACATACATATGTATGTCTATATTGGGTATAGAAGTAAGTTTTAAAGGAAATTTTATTGTGCAAAATTGGTGTCATCTCTAGCAGTGCATGGCTTCCGATAAAATTAAATATATATGCAATAAAATTGCTCGCTTTTGAAGACTAAGAAAGTATCAAGCCAATTTTTGATACCTTCAACTAAAGTGAAGCATACTCTTGTAAGGGTGCACTGCATCGACTGGAACAAATGGTAATCTGTTGGTGCATGGCCGGGGCTATAATGTGGATCGGTTAGTATTTCCCATCCGGTACGATTCGATTTAAGTACAAGTCCCGCCAAATGCAGAGCATTACCTTGCTGCAATGAACAGTTGGCTTTGATGTCGGTGGACCGGGTGCACCGGGTTCACCGATTATCGTAAGCGCCAATTTTATGACTTTTAGTTATATATTTTAAAATAAGATCTTTCGGTTGGTGCTATCAGTTTTTGGATATCTCCTTTAGTTTCGGAGATATTCACTAAAATTGTACCGGTAATTTGGTGACTACTAAGTGGTGGTCATACTGAGCTAATCAACATTTTTCGAAGATATTGAGTAAAAAGGAACGCTAAGTTAGTAAAAAAATTTATCACATTTAGCCGTATTTCATACAAACTGGCTGCAAAATTTTACTAAAGAAAATCCTTCATAAACTCAAAAATAATTAACAGTGAAGAATCTATTAAAAAATTAAGTTCAGTGAAGTTAAATTAATTATTACAATATGGGTATCAATAGAAAGGGCTTTGTTTCTTAACTGTACGTAGGAGGGTTGCCGCCTGTTTGAAGAATCAAATTCAACTTGAATTAAGGGTGCTAGGTAATTGAAATATATATCACAATATGGCTGTAAACCGAAAGGGATTTAAGAAGGTTGTAGTTTGAAAATATTTTTGTAGGGGGTTGCCACCTGTTTACAAATTCGAATTAAGTTCAATTATCCACAAGTTATATGAAACATAATTCGGTTGTTAAACGTAAAAGTGTTAAGAAATTTTTAGTTTAGAATTTTAAAATATTTGTTTTAGAGGGTTTTCAGCTGGTACAAAATTAAATTAACTTTAAATTATTCAATAAGTTATACACATTATTACAATATGGATATTAGTGGAAATGGTTTTAAAAAGGCTATATTTCTTAACTGTACGTAGGAGGGTTGCCGCCTGTTTGAAGATTCAAATTTAATTTGAATTAAGGGAATCGGTTAATTGAAATAGATCACAATACGGCTATCAGACGAAAGGAGTTTAAGAAGGTTGTAGTTTAAAAATATATTGTAGAGGGTTGACACCTGTTGGAAAATTCGAATCAAATTCAATTATACACAAGTTTTATGAAAAAACGTGTGTTAAATAAAAATGTTAAAAAAAAAATCTTCAGATTTGACATTTAAAATATTTCTTAGGTATTCTAATAGGGCTGCCACCTAGTTAAAAAATATATTAAATTCAAATTATTTCAATTTTATAATATTGATATAAATCGAAATGGTTTTCAAAACGGCTTTATTTCTTAACCATATGCAGAAGGGTTGCCACCTGTTTGATGAATAAAGTTCAAACGAGAATTAATTGAATTAGATAATTGGAATAGTTATTACAACAAAGCTGTCTGACGAAAGGACTTTACGAAAATTGTACTGTAGTTGAAAATAATTGGAACCGATTTGAAAATTTAAATTAAATTCAATTATACACAAGTTTTCGGAAAACAAATGCGGATGTTAAACGAAAGAAATCCTTAGTTTAGACTTTTAAAACATTTCTGGGTTGCCACCTGTTTAAAGGATCAAATTCAACTTTAATTATGTAACAGAATTAGATAATTAAAATAAATATTGCGGTCAGACGAAAGGGGTTTGGTTGTAGTTTGAAAATATTTTAAAGTGGGTTGAAAAAGTATTTAAAAATCTCTCATGTTTTATTGAAATAAATTACACCTAATGTAACTCGAAAAAATTTCTTACATTCAACGTAGCGGGTGAGGGCAACTAATGTATCCTATGATTATAGCTCAACATAACTATAATTTAACTTTTGTATATTTTTTGCTAATCTTTTTCTTTCATATCTTCTATTTCCAGTTTACCTATACCATGGCTAATCTATGGCATCATCTACGATGCACCTGTCGAGGTTAACTCCGTGGGCATGGTCTGTTCCATAACGATACTTTTTATGATGTTGATCTTTGTCGTAATGTCGATTGCCTGCTTCCGTTGGAAAATGAATAGGGGTTTAGGTTTTACAATGTTTTTGTTATATTTCGTTTTTGTTGCTGTTTCGTTAATGTTCGAATATGATACACTAACATGTCCAGTGTAAAAGGTGACAAGTAAATGAAGAAATAAAAATTTAAAAAATAAAATACAAAATAAAAAATTTAAGAAAAATAAAAATAAAATAGCAAAATAGGAAAATGTAATATGTAATAAACAATAAATTAATTAAAAAATAATTGCGACCAAAATAATGTAGAAAATAATAGGTGATTGATTAAAATATTTTTAAGTAAAATAAATGAAAAAAATTATATGAACTAAATAAGGAAATAATAAAATTGTTAATAATATTTCAGAAAAAAAACTTTAGATATTAGAAAAATATTATAACAAATTATAATTATAGCTAAAACGAATTAAATATTAAGTTAAATTAAAAATTCCAAAAAAAAAGCGAGGAAGCAGTCGGGCAAATGAAGATTTGAAGTTGCCAATCAGCTTTCACACATGCATAAATACAAAAACAAGTACATATATACATACAAGTGCATAAAATTTTAGACTAAGCGTTATTTCCAAACAAATATTTATTATATAGCAAAAAATGTAACTCTTAAATACTTTCACAAGCTATAGCTTAATAAATACATATATGCATACATATAATAAAATGTAATTGTTAAATTTCGTCTTTTTCATGCGCTTTCCTCTATTCTCTCTGAAATATGTAACAAAATGTAAAAAAATATTTATTAAATTTTTATAGGCAGTATTTTGAAGTGTTGAATTTTTTTTTTTAATTTAATTTTGAAAAAAACTTGTATGAATTAGTACCTACACTGGCGTATGTATACAACATGCATATGTATGTATATATAAGCGTGTTTAACCTAATTAATTTACAGCAAATGAACTTTCACGCATGTTGATGGCAGCACTTAGAAGATATGCTGGAAAAATCGTCAGTTCGGCAATTATATTGTACTCGTACCACTACTACCACACTGGAGGTTGCTTACTTAATTTACACCAGCGATGGGTAGAGAGAGCTTTTACCCTGCACGCTCCTATACAAAATCTATGGAAAACCTTAAAAGAGCTTTGCCCGCTGGCAAGGTAGTGCACATCACCGATTTACACACACACATACACGAAAAAAATGCTTTCACAGCTTCGAAAGCTGCAACATGAAAAAAAGGCTTGTGATTTTTATAATAGCTTTGCGCAATTCAAAGCTTCAACTTCAAAACAAAGTGCAGTGTAAGCTTTCAGCTGTGTGCGCAAGTGCTTAGCTACACAAAAAAGCGCTACTTAAAGAAGCGGGAAACTTTTTAAGCCTCACTGACAATTGGTCAACTTTTGTATTATAGTTCTTAATTCAGTGTCTAGTCTTCTAAATCTGTGACGATCAGAGAGAGCTTTTACTCTAACAGCGTCCATGAACAACTTAATGAAAGCTTTAAAAAGCTTTTACCACAAGACATGTTTTGTAAGTGACTTTACTGAATTCGTAAAAAAACTGATGCTCAGACACTATATTATTTATGACTCTAAATTGGCAACTGATGAAGCGACAGCGCAACTTTAGCTTTAGATCTTTTTTTTAGAATCAAACCCATCATAAACATTTGCAAAAATATTTGTTTTAAATCACAGCTGGCCACATCATAGGCACGCGTGCCAGAGCTTTTAAATTCTGGTACAAAACAAAAGCTTTCGGTGGCCAGCACTTATTTAAATGCGTTCAAGCTTTTTTTTGTTGCATACAAATAGAAATTATGCTCGAAAATTTTCAAAACTTTACTACCTAAATTGAATTGAACGAAAAGCTAGTAAGCTCATAAATTATTTTTCATAAACGTGCTACTAATTTGCTAAGCCAAATCGGTTAACAAAAGCTAACTAAACCAAAGAAAATCTATATACGAAAGGAAGAAGGAGAAGAAGGCAGCTTATACTGCTTTCAAAATGAAAAGCCCTACTAAAAGATCGTTACTCATTCAGCTGTTAGTACTATAAACTATAACTTTTAACCCTTTGCATATATGCTTAAAAATTAGTTAGTTGGCGTTACATGTATTGTACAGTTAACAGCACTTATTTAATATTTTACTGCTTACAAAAGAAAAAACTCGTCATACGGACCTTCTTACAATCACTGCGATAAAAACTTTAGTTTTGTTAGCGCTCCTATTCCGCATTCGCTTGAATTCAAGCGCAAATTCCAAGCTCTCGCTCCGAAAACGAGAACGCACATATTAATAAAACCTACATAAATATTTTGTTTTTTCAATACTCGTTTCAAAAGCAGTTCACACTTTTGCGCTACCAAAATAAAACAAAAAAACATAAAAACAAAAAAATAACTAGTAAATATAAAATTTTGCAGACAGGCAGAATTAATTGTTAACAATTTAGAAAGTTAGAAAATTTGTAACAGATGCATAGAAGATAATTTGTACAAAGTGAAATAAAAAAAAAAATAAATAAATAAATAAAGCAAATTAGTAAAAACCTGTTAAATTTCTCTGCAACAGTGCAAGCAGTTAGTAATTAATCTATTAAAAAATCTATAGGCATTTATGACTTAATAAATGAGGAAACAGCCACTAATCTAACTCGCTACAAATGTTGCAAAAGCAAGCAAAGAAACGCAGTACGAAAAAAAGCAAGCAACATGCGATGGCAGTAAGGATAAATAAACTCTCTTTAGCGGATAGCTTATAAGAAAGCAATAATTTATAAAGTGGCGCTAAACTAACTAAACTACACTAGATCTAATGTAACAAGCTGTAAACTAACAAAAAAAAAAAAATGTTTTAACTCAAAAACTAACTGAAAAATTTGTTTAATTTTCGAAAATTTCAATAAAGCAAATGAACACGAGTAACATAAAGTATTGTATCAAAAAACAAAAAAAAAAAAACAAAAACAAAATGAAACAAAATCTATTTGAGACAGCAAATACGTATTACACTTTATAAACATAGACTATTTAAGTAATATAAAGAAGGCATAGCAACTCATTTTACCTTAATATGAAGTCCAAGCAAAAGAAGAAAAAACAAAAACAAAACTAAAAACTCTTCAATTCTAATAAACAATTATAAAAATCGCGAATATTTCATTCTGTTCACATTTTAATTTTGTTAACTGAATTAAGGTACTAAATTTACTATTAAAACCTATTAAAACAAAAAATTACAAAAAAATCAAATTCGAATTCAAAAAATGAATAATCTTCCATACATTTACCAAAGCAAACTTAGTAGAAGAAATATAAGCGAAAATGCATACCTAAATACTAAAAGAAAAAAACTAATTTCAAATGTTTATAAAAGAACTAATAAAAACACACACACACACATACACTGGCAATCAAAAGTGAGTGTCTGTTTTTTTTTTTTTTTTTTTGGTATGACATTTGCAATGTTTTACGCTTTATTCCAAACCATATACATAAGTTAAACTTTCAAACTTTATACAGAACGTATAAAGTTTATACAGAAAATTTTCATCTAAATTTTGAAATTTTTATACTGAATTTATAGAAAAATTGTGGATGCGGTTATGTAATTCTAGTTAAACAAATGAAAATTTTAACCAGCTAAAAATCGCGTTGATTTTTAATTATTTTTTTTTCTGGCGGTATTTGCGGTTTTATGCGTAATTTTGTTTGCAAACTGTCTTGCGCACTTTATTCTTTAAGAAATTCCTTTTTTTATGGTAAAAAGTGCAAAAAGCGGTCAGCGATAAAAAATCATTAAAAATCAATGCGATTTTATAGCCGTTTAAAATTTGCACTTTTTTAACAGATTTAAAAATAAAACCGATTTATCTGCGTAGCCAAATTTTTTTTAAAAATTCAGATTAAAAAGTTCAAAATTTAGATGAAAATTTGTCGTTTGAAAGTTTGACTCATGTGGTTGTGATTAAAGCATAAACCATATTTCTATAAAAAAAATAACAAAAACATTTTGACTTGAAAAACGTGACAAATATTTAAGAAAAAGCACAATGCACTCACTTTTGATCGCCACTGTACATATTAAACATATCTTATCACTCACTCATACGCTATTTACACTAATTAAAAACCAATCTAAGAGACCGAACGAAAATATTCACTCGTATATCATTGAAACAACAAAAACTACATATAAAAAATTAACGAAGACGACGAAACGGAAAAACTCTAACGTGAACGAAATAAGACGAGCGTGAACGACAGAACACGAACTTGAACGAAATAAGACGAACGTGAACGAAACAATACGAACACGAACGAAATAAGATGAGCGTGAACGAACAGCACGAACGTGAACGAATTAACGGGACAATTCTGTCGAAGATAGTTGAACGCCTTTTGTAAGGCAGTGGAAAAACTGTAGACAAGATAGTTTGAAAGATTTTGTTTATTCTGTCTTGAAAGTCTTACAAAAAAAGCTTGCCAACTTTCATGGTGAAAAGCTCTTTTGACAAAAAGCACTTTTATGTATATCCTGGCATGCAAATCGCGAATTCCGAGGTCGAGTCCTTGGCTAGCGGAATTTGTTTTTTTATTTAATTTTCTTTTAATTCGTTGTTAGCATTGTTTTCAAAGGAAAACAATATATATTTTTTAATCTTCTTAATTTTTAGAAACTTGTTTTACTTTTTTATTTTTCAACGTAATTTTTAAATTAAATTGTTTTAAAAACAAAAACATTTTTTTTTTATTTCGTTTAATTTTTCTCTTCTTTTTGCATTAAATTTTTTCCTTTTTTCAATTAAATTTTCTTTTAATTTTTTTAACGAAAAAGTTTTTTAGTAAATTTTTAGGAACTTATTTTAATTTATAGTATTTAAGTTCCTTCTAAATGATTTTTTTTTGTTTCATTTCGTTTTTAGAAATTGTTTTTTCTCTACTTTTTATTGATTAAATTTGTCATCTTTTAATTTAATTATCGTTAATTTGTAGATTTTATGTTTAATAAGAAAAATATATATATGTAAATAGGTACATTTGTATATGTTTTCATTTCATTCAATTATTAGAAACTTATTTACCTATTTTACTATATTTGGTGGAATTTAATTTCTAGATTTTATAATTTTGCATAGAAAAATATTTTTTTGCTTTCATTTAATTTTCATAAACTTACATTTTCTTTTTCTTTTTTAAATACATCGTTTTCTTTTTTTTCTTT